ATTGTTGACTCCCAATAAGCATATTTTAAATCAATGTTAAAAATGTGTCAAACAATACATATTTAAAAGTTTAAATGACTTATACTAAAAAAAAGTTAGGTCAAACTTTAATTTTATGGTTATAAAATTAATTATCAATCCTCTTTAAAAATTTAGTATAATAATATACAATTCTTTTTTATTGATACCATTGTCAGTCAAATGAGTATATAAGTTTTATAATATTGTACATAAGAAATTTTATAAATATTAAAGGTTTTAACGACAACTTATATTAAAGATAAGTCAATTCAAATTTTAACTTTATAACTATAAAATCAATTATCAATAATGCGATAAATTTAAAAGTTATGGGAATTATATGTAAAAGAAATAAATTTATGGAACTTAAATACTTTTTATTTTATTTTTATTTACAATATAATTGTAAAATAAATGATTTTTTTTTATCATTTGATATTTAAATTTTCAAAATCATTTAAATTTAACATTTTTAAATATAAACATAATGTCTCTTTAACTATTAACTATGATTGTACAATAAAATATATGTTTTATACATGTCACATATTAAACTTTGAATATAATAAAGTTAATAAAAAAATTATTTTACAGTTATAAAATGGATGAATTATTTTATCATTTCGCAATATGTATTTACAAAAATATTAAATTTTTTAAAAATTATTTTCTTATAAATATTTCTAATAAAAATAAAAATAAAATATGTGAGATTATAAATAAATATATTTTATATACTTTAATGTCACATTTTAGTTACCTTTAACAATTAATTATATTGATTAAAGCATAAAATTTTAATTTTAATTTTATAAATAAGTATATTTTGAATATGCGTGAAAAAGAGAATCAGGCGCATTTGTATATGGGTGCTTTACTTTCTAAAATAATGCATGTGCTTATTTACTAAATTCAATAATCAATTTAACCTATATCTATACAACATTAGTTTTTCTACAAAATAATATTTTGATTTTTTTCATATTTAACTTTCATATGTACGTCATATCTCAAATCTTTATATTTATCTTAAGTCATCGGAGTTTTGGTTGTATAGTATTTAATCTTTATACTTAGTCACCCCTTTTGAATTTATTAATACGTTTGGTAATTGGTTGACTAGATTTTGCAAATGAATTATCTTTTGAACTTCTAGTTCACATTGTTTTGTACAAGGATCAAGATGAGATGTTGATAATTCATTCCAACTTATATATTTTTTTAGCTATTTTTGTTCTCCCCCTAATATTAGGAAAATCAACTCATTAAAATGACAATTGACAAATTGAGCCGTAAACAAATCTCCTGTTAATGGTTCAAGATATTTTATTATAGATGAAGATTCATAACCAACATATATTCTCAACCTTCTTTGAGGACCCATTTTGGTTCTTTACAGGGGGCATGAAAAATATTGGGTTGCTCACAAAAAACTAACTATAAATGAGAGAATTTGTGATAACTTGTTGGCCTTAAGCGAATTAATATTGCGGCATATAAGATTGCATGCCCCCAAGTTGACATTGGAAGTTTTAATCTCATGAGTAATGGTCTTGCCATCAGTTTTAAACGTTTGATAAATGATTCTACAAGTCCATTTTGTGTATGAACATGTGCTACTAGATGTTCAATATCAATTCCAATAGACATACAATACTCATTAAAAGCATGAGATGTGAATTCACCAACATTATTCAAACGAATTTTCTTAATTGGATAGTCAAGAAAATGAGCTTTTAATCTAATTAGTTGAGCTAATAATCTCGCAAACGTCTGGTTGCGAGTTGATAATAAACAAATATGTGGCTATCTTGTTAATGCATCAATTAAAACCATAAAATATTTAAATGGTCCACATAGGGGGTGTATTGGTCCACAAATATCACCTTGTATCCATTCTAAAAATAAGATAGATTGATTCCCAATTTTTATTGGTGATGGTTTAATTATTAACTTCCCTTGGGAACAAACAGTACACGAAAAAATATTTGATTGAAGAATCTCGTGACTCTTCAATAAATGTCCACATGAATTTTTAATTATTTTTTGCATCATGATAGTTGCAGGGTGACTTAGCTGATCATGTCAAACCTCAAATTTATTTTGATTTGTAAACTTCTGGTTTACAATAGTATGTGTTTCAACTGTATTAACATACATGCAATACAGTTCATAGGAGAAAGCAAATAATTTTTCCAATACTTCCTTTTTATTCAAGTATAGTTTCGTGATATAAAGATTTCTACATTCCCTTCATTGTTTGTTTCAATATGAAACTCATTTAAACGAATATCCTTGAAACTTAATAAGTTTTTGTAAGACTTAGAAAAATATAATTTATTTTTAATATGCAACTTCGTTTCTTTCAGTAATAATATATTAGTTCTTCCGAAGCCTTCAATTATATTTGTAGTATCATATAACATTAATTTCTCGCATTATTGAATATGAGAAGAAAAAAATTAATACATTAGAACGTTCACTTCAGGGAATGAAATAATGCTAGTTAAAATTGTTTCTTGCATAAAAAAATCTCAATATTTTGTTTTATTCTTCAAGAGACAATAAACTAACAAAGGATATTTCTTAATCTTTTTTTTTATAAAAAACTTGCTACTTCTAAAGCAAAATAGATGTATGAAAAATATAATATATTTTTTAAATTGAGAAATCATTATAAAAATGACATTCTTGTTATGTATCTTTAGACATCAATTTAATATCAAAATCTACACTATTTTTTTTATATCATCTCATGTATATTATCTACAAATAAATGTTTCATACAAAAAAATTAAAAACATATCTCACTAACACTTTATTTTATTATTTTAGGAAATGAATGATACAACACAATCATATATTCATTTGAAAAAAAAATCATAACTTGTTTATGTCTTTCTTTATAAAAAAAAAAAAAAAAAAAAAACAAGTGAGTCTTTCTCATTATACTTATTAAAAAAATCATCTAATAAAAACATATTTATGTCATTGCTAGGTTGACTTTAAGGAGAAAAAAAATAATGCTAAAAATTAGGGAAATTATTCTCCTTATAAATGTTATATCGAAAAAATAAGGAAATAAACATTGATCATATTTCATTAAATTCTAGTATTTTTGTACAAATCACAATCAAATTATAACGTAATGATATCTCCATCAATTAAAATAATAGACGCATAACATTATGAAAACAAATAATATCAATTCTATCAATAAGATTTAAAATTAAACTCTTTTTAAGATTCAATGACGTAACATATGAGTTCAATTACATGACAAGTTGATTATTTCAATCAATTTAATCATAAACATTATCAAATTACAAATGTAGGAAAATTCATAATCCTTTCAAGAAATCACACAAAACCTAAATAGGCTTAAGGACACGCTTCATTAGTTATAATATTTATAAGTGTCTCAAATATCATTCATTATAATTATGACATTGACAAAATTATTCCACTTCCGGTGATGATCTCATTTATATCAAAGGATCAAACACAATGTAATATATCTATATCAAAAAAATTTCCACTTCTGGTGAAATTTATTTTATTTTTCACTTTTCATATTATTTTCTCACTTCTAGTGAGAAAGTTTATCATTTCATTTTCATTTTTTTCATCATTTTCTCACTTCTGGTGAGAAAAAAAATTAAAATATTTTTATTTGACAATGTCTTTTAGACCATTATAAAAATATTTTTATAATTTTTTTTGATTTTGTCTTTAAAATCAATTGTATTTAAATGAATTTCAAAATCATAAAAATACAAATATTCTATCATAATATGAAAAACATGATTGCATAATAATGACAAAATATATTACGTCAATGAAATATTGATATTTCTCATTTCTGGTGAGAAAAAATAATAAATTAAAAGAGATTGAATATTCTCTTTTGATAGCATCTTTTAGACACATTTCAATGATGTATAACTTTTTTTTATTTAATAGTGTCTTTAAGACTACTATAATGTCTTGAAGACTACTATAGTGTCTTCAAGACTACTTTAATACATAACAATGTAAATAATACAAATATTTGATAAAATTCTTATTGTGGAAGATGAATAACTAACCTTGAAATATTTGTTTTGAAAAATATGATTTTCTTCATGAAAGTTCTTCATAGCTTTGTCTCACTAATAGCGGAAAGACTATCGTGCTGATAACATATTATAAAAGAGAAAAAAAGTAATGAGAACAAATAAGACAATATGAGATGGAGAAAAGAATCTGACTGATATTATCTTTGGGAGATGACTAACCTATATATAAGTACATGTGATAACTGAACAATTACATAATAAAAAAATAATACATAACAAAAATATAAATGATAATGATTGATAATGAATATTGACATCCACTAATTAAGCCACTAATTATTATTCATAACAAATAAATTCAAATAAATTTTAGTCAATCTAAAAACTTATCATTCATAAATTTATAATTTTCGTCAATCATAATTTTGGTATAAAAAGTGACCTATTCCTTTTTTTTAAGAAGTCCTTAATTTAGGTTCAAGAATCCAACTTAAATTTTTTCTCATTAGTTATATCTCTTTTTTATTTTATTTTATTTTATTTAATAAAAAATATATTTATATTATCAATTCAATTAATTAAATAAGAGAATATAATTATTTTATTAAACACTTATTTTATTTATTTACAAAAAATAAATGTTACAATAAATTTTAATTATAAATATGTTATATTTATAAATAATAAAGGGGGCAGCTTCCCTTATTTTTTTAAGTGTATCTTTAAAATATAATTTACATTTAAAATTTATCATAGATAATTAGTTACAAAAATAAAATAATAAAAATTGTTTACATATAAAAAAAAAACAAAATTCCTGTGAGGAATAATAGAAATATAATAGAATAGAAAATATATATATAGATATAAAGGTTATGTCTAATTTAGTAATTTAATAATTATACCATTTCCAGAATTTTCTGAACATTTTTTTTCTCTGTGGCAGACAGAATAGTTTACAATTCCCAAATTGGAACCCTAGCTTTGGCCATTGTCACCATCTTTTCCTCCTCTTCTCTGCGCAGCTTTTGTTATTGCAAAATATTGATCTTCTTTGCGTCTGTAAACCCACAATTCACGTCACTTCTTCTTAACTCAATTTTGGGTCCCGCATCTCTATATTTTCTCATTTGCAGAGAAGAAAAATCCAAACTTGTGGATTATAAAGGGGTTCATTTTGCTGATTCTCTAGCTATGGTACCTTCATTTATCTCTTTTTTGTTTCTTCTCATAATTGTTGTTGGCTGGCTTTCTTGGGAAACGGAAAGAATGAGAAAATTTGTGTTTCTTTTGTTGTTTAGCTTCTGTGCAAAAAGAGGGCTAAAAATTCTTCCATTTTGATTTTTTATCTACGGTTTTAACGAGATTTAGTTGTTGAATTTTGAGATGGGTTTTTTGCAGGTATGGGATTTCTAAGAGGGTGTTCTATCTGTTTTTTGCCAAACCTAAATTGATTTGTTTTCAATAACTGTTATGTGGATGTATGATACACAGAAATTCAGCTTGTGATTCTTTCTTCGTGTAGCCCTAGACATGCCATCTGTGGATGACTTCGTTGTGGTTTTTTTATTTGTGTTGTGATTCTTTCTTCGTGTAGCCCTAGACATGCCATCTGTGGATGACTTCGTTGTGGTTTTTTTATTTGTGTTGGTGTAGCTTAGTTTGTTGGTTTTTTTTTTTTTTTTTCAAGAAATAGATTGGGGGCAACTTTTTTGATGCAGGTATCAAAAGAGAAACAAAAAATGTAAGAGAGAAATATTTGTTGAGGTTATCTTTGAAAGTGGGTTTATTCACTTCATTATTGTGCTATCTGTAAATGGGACTCTGTACAATAAATTTTCTGGAACAGTCTTCCTCTAGCTAAATTTTAACTGATTTATGTATGCAGGCCGCTAAGATTCTTGCAAACTTGATTGTGATGGGCGGAGGAATCTTGGCAAGAGCAGTTGTTCAAGCATATCGTCAAGCACTTGCTAGTAAGCTTTTAAAATTCGTGATAGTTGAATGATTTGTGATTTGTGTGACAAACATAATTTTGTGCTATTTACTACTAAGTTCTCCGATTAGTGATTTATAGGTGTTTGGGTTAATTATTGTGTTTCCTTAGATATATACTCTTCGGACATACCATTTGAAAATACTGCTTAAATTATTCTGACTCTAAAATAATTTTATCACTTAATTGGTAGATATTAAGTATTTTAAGAATTTAGTAGCAAAGTTTGTTGTCTAAAGATTTTTAGGAGCTATTTTTTTATTTTTAAAGGGAGGGCGGTCATGGGCTTACGAGGTAATAATGTTGACAAGTTTGTAACATTACAAAGGAAGAGTTCAAAATGAAAATTTGGGGTGCAATTGGTTTATATGGCAAGGGAAGTCCTCTTGTTCAGCTAGTGTTGAATGAAATCCTAGTTTCTCTTAGGAGAGGGTTTTATGCTTCATGGTCAATTTCTAGATCATTAAAGTTTATTTGCTAAAGGGTTGTTTGACAACTTGACAAGCCTTTAGACTGATGATATCCCATTCTTTTTGAGTCCACTAAAGTATTCTTACCCTTTTCACTTGGTGAGTATTTCGCTTCAGCAACTCTCCCTTTTAAAGATTAATAAATGGGAAGTTCTCTAGGAATTAGGTATGTTGATTTTTGTGAGAATTGTATATCTGAATTCCAATAGGCTGACAAGATTTATAAAAACAAATTTTATTGTTTTTTAAATAAATATTTTTTGTTATTCCGTAATGCCTGGAATATGTGAAAGTGTAACTTGAATATTATTTCTCATTTACTTTTCAATTCTCTGATTCCATGGTGTTTGGTTTAATTTTTGTTTGTTTCCTTGCAAATATAGTTATATACACATGCAAATGCTGGTTAACAAAATTATTATCCAACACCCAAATAATTTTATCACTTAGGATATGTTTAGGAGTGGGGTTTTGAATGGAAAGAGAAAGGAGTACCAAGCTTTTTTTTTTTTTTGTAAGTCAAGAGAGTTACAAAATGTTCATAGAGATAAACAAAATATTAGGATGTTAAGTTAATGCTAATCTATCATTTTATTTAAAAAATTATCAAATTAGATAATATTAGAAATAAAAATGTTACCTTCACTAGAGATATGACAAGTAAAGAGTTTATAAGTGGGAGGCAACTCTTACCTTACCAGCCGATTTTGTAGGGTTGAGTTAGGTTCCAATTCATTTTCTAAAATGGTATCAAAGCATAGTAGTCAATCCCGGATAGCAGAGCGGAGCGGTCGACCCTTAAAAATGGGATAGTGGGATGACGCGGAGCGGAATAACTGCTATTTTAATATTAATTTATATATATTAAATAATTAATAATATATATATAAAAGCTAAAAAAACAAAAAATAACTATAAATTCATGCATTAAACATTTTTAATAATATGCTAAATTAAATTTAATCAGAAATTAAAAATAAAATTTGCTGAATTAAATTTAATCAGAAATTAAAAATAAAATCTACTGAATTAAATTTATTCAGAAATTAAAAATAAAATCTACTGAATTAAATTTAATCAGACATTAAAAATAAAATTAGCTGAATTAAATTTAATCAGAAATTAAAAATAAAATTTGCTAAGTTAAATTTAATCAGAAATTAAAAATAAAATTTTCTAAGTTAAATTTAATCAGAAATTAAAAATAAAATTTTCTGAATTAAATTTAGTCAGAAATTAAAAATAAAATCAGCTGAATTAAATTTAATCAGAAATTAAAAATAAAATTTGCTAAATTAAATATAATCAGAAATTAAAAATAAAATTTGCTGAATTAAATTTAATAAAAAATTAAAAATAAAATTCTGTTGCATAAACTAAAAAGAGAGAAGACAGATGATGAGCGGAGGGAAGCGCGTCGGAGCTGGAGGCACGTTAGAGCTGGAGTTCGTCGCAGAACTGGAGGACTGCGTGTCCACGATCGTCCTCAAGAGAGAAGAAACAATCGTCCGAGAGAGAGAGAGGAGAGGGAGTGCAAGAACTGAGAAACCAAGTGGTTCTGCGAGAGGGAGAGGGGAGCATTAGGGCAAGAAACGCCCAATTGAAAAGACAGACTTACCCTTAATGAAGGGTATGTTGAAATCGCGCCGCGATTCCGCGATTCCGCGATTTTTCGTCGCTCCGCTCTGCCACTGACGCGGTCGCTCCGGCCGCGACACACATCCACCACGCGACAGCATGAAGATTGTGGGGTCAGGCCGCTGCGCTCTAGAGCGCCGTTATAGCGGCCGCTCCGCCCGCTATTAACTACTATGTATCAAAGCTATCTAGATCTACTCTAAAAGGGTTACTTACCATTGATATATGCCCCAAGCCCAATGGTGTTGAGCATGAGGGGGTATATTTGGAAAAATCCAAGTCCTACATATCCTAGATAATTAAAAGGGTCCACTCACAATTTATCCATGTACTAAGCTTAATAGTGTTGGACGTAAGGGTGTATATTAGAACCCAAGTCCCACATCAATTAGAGAAAAGACGAATAAAGAGTTTATAAGTGGGAGACAACTTTCATCTTACAAGCCGTTAGGCCCATAACCCACATTCTAAGACCTTCCCATTCCATTTCTTTCAAAACCCGATTCTGAAACATAACCTTAGTCGTTAGATGTTCAGTCAGTTTCTACGCATCTTTAAGAATTTAGTTGCTGTGTATATAATCTAGAGATTCATGTGAGTTACGATGTTCCTTTTCCACCAGGTTGGGGCATAAGATTTCATGGCCTTCCTTGGGCAACAAAGTTAACAAATTTGAATCATTTCATTGGAAGATTTCAGAATAAAATTTAAGGTGAAATTGGTCTGCATATCTATTGAAGCCCTTATATTCAAACAGTGTTGAATGAATAACTAGTTTCTTGTGGTTCAGTAGTAGTAATATAGTATATTTGAGAAGAACTTGGGAGAGGTTACATGCTTCATGATCAACTTGTAAGTTGTAATCATTATAGGTAGCTTCTAAAGGAGGTTCTCCAGGAATTAGGTTTTTTTTTTTTTATAGATTAGCTAGTGAGAATTGACTATCAGACCTCCAACAAGCTGACAGGATTTTTTAAAGGAATAAAACCATGAGTTTGTTGGGATTCTTTAAAAGAAGATTAGATGTGAATGCAGTGAAGGCCAGGATTGCAGGAAATGTAAACTAAGGGGAGGTAATCTCAATCACTTCCACGAAATTGCTTGCAATAAACTGCTAAATGAAGGAAAGTGTACTTATATTGAATGCTGATAGTGGCTTGGCTAGAGACCCAAGTTTCATTTTAGAGAAAGTTTCTGGGTTCCAGAAGGCACTGTGTGTAGGCATTTTCTAGTGTAAAATTTACAATGCAGTCTGGATGATAAGTGGAATCACTTGATTATTTAGGAAGTTTGTTGCTAGTCCAAATGGGATGAGTGATTGGTCACGGTTTCTTCTTATTGAGGAGGATTTATTTACTGGGATAAATGATTAGGATGATTTCCTTTTTAAAACACTTTGGCTTTGGCACAGTGTAATTTATGGTGCTTGCTAGAGTGTTTGGATGCCAAAACCACCATTATTATACTCATGCAGTCATTTGAGTCTCTGGAAATTATTTTCTTAACTTTTTTTTCCCTTGCTTACTCTATATTTATAGGCATGGTCTTGTTCATTTTGGGAGAATCATTACATTGGTTAGGCCTCTTCTTTATGTATAACAGAGGCACTGCCGACCTAGATATGGTGCTGAACAATATATATATTTTTTTCTTCCTGTTTTGACAAATAGAGATGTATTGTGAGCTTTCAGATTTTAGAACCTTTTATAAAACTTCACCTGAATTCTTAAGCTTTTTACAGTGCTGTTCCTTTTCATGATCCTTAGCAATGGAGAGTTGAGCCTTTGGAATATTTATTTTCTTTTATCTGTATATCCTATTTTCATATCTGACTAAGGCTTCTTCTGTTAGTAAATTGATCACTGATTCCCTTTTCATTTGGGACTATTCAATGCACCCATTATTCAGATATGTGTTACTCACACCATGACAAGTCAGATTCTGAGCATCCCAATTTTATTGAATGAAAGGACAGTTTCTTGCACAGAATCTATACAATAAAGATTTCGATCAAATCATTAATTAGTATTACAACTGTTGATTGTTTAAGAGGTTTATGTAAGAGCAAACGTTTTGTTTGAATTGATGTACATGATAGAATAAATACAAATGGTTTGTCAGACTCATCCTCCATTGACTATTTGTCTTCATGTTTGCGTTACATGTTTTCAAAGTTCAGAGAGTTATAATTATCTCTTTCTGTATTGTTACGTTGCTTGGGAGCTTTGGAACAAGTTTTGCATTTTGGTTGGAAAGAGTG